TAGCTTGCTGGTAGTGCTTTACTACTGGTTCTCGCTCATTGGGAACATATGCAGCACCTTCCTCCCTCTGACCCTTGCCCAAGCTTTTTTATTTGAATCTTAGGCAATGTCAAGATAATATGTGATAGCAGCTTTGATGTTCGCAGTGTGAAGGGGGAGAAAGGTGGCATGTTATAGTCAGTGGGTCAGCATCTGTCAGATGGTGTCTGGTTAGGTATACAAATTCCTGGGAAAATGAACATGCTGGATTTGATAGCTGAGCTATAGAGCCTGATTTCCACCTGAACAAAACATTTTTATTAGGAGGTCTAAAATCTTCGGTGAGATACAGCAGTCATGTATAAAACTGTTCAACAAGAACACATTGTAGGCTGAAGGGGGGAGGATGTGCACCCAGGAGTAGGAATGAAATACAAAAGAGGGAGGTGGGGGCAAGACTGCTCTTTCCTGAGTCCTGAGAAATTCAGAGGAACGTAGCCAAAAGAGTTTGGTGCCAAAATATGTTTCTACTTTTTCCTCACTCATCTTATATAGTGGAGTTTCTCAGTTATCTTTAGGAGAAAAAGTAAGTTATTCAATGTTAATCTCTTTCAGATCTCAGCACCACTCATATAAGTTGGGAGCTGTTCCTTCAGCCAACCAATCAACTTCATACTGATAAACTGAGAAAGGAGTTTGGTCCTAGAATTGATATTTCAGTTCCTGGTTATAAATCTGAAGTCTCCCCTGAAAGTAAGATACAGGTTTGGAGACTTATTCCCCCTTTACACTTGTTTAACCTCTTTGCATTTATCTGTCACTACCTTTTATTAGTTGTGAGCCTTATCATATTTGAATGGTGGGGTAGTTCATTTTTTCGAAACCGAGAGGCTCAATCCCTAGCAGTGAGAGAACTAAGATTGCAAAGGGATAAGAGACTTTTTCCTTTTAAATAATCTCCTTTTCTTAAAAAAAGTCTAATGCAATAAAAGGCCTGCAAGCTTAATCAATACAGCATTACTAAAAGCATCTTTCAAAATCCTTTAGCACTTTTCACTGTACTCCTATTTCTACTACTGTTCAAGCTATCTGCTTCAGTATTCAAGTAGTAAAATAATTTCAAAAGCATTGAGCCTTTTATTTTTTTTGGGGGGGGGATTAATATTACTGTTTGACAAAACATAGTCTAAATCTGTTGAATTTTTTGCAAGATCTTAGGTTTTGGTTGTGCAGTAATTGGACTTTGTTTTCATGGTGTGACAGATTCTGATTTTTTTTTTTAATTTGATGTTAAAAATGACTAAAACACATGTCAGAAAACCACATTGTCTGATTAATTTTTTTCTTATTGGAGAGGTGAAGGGATCATATTCCATTATTCTTTTTGGCAACGAGTGGCTTCATATTTTAATGCCAAGATATTACGAAGAATATTGCAAGAGGATGCTTGCTGAAAATGTAAACCCAAATTATCATTTTTGTGCATGTGTTTAGTTGATTTTCATGTTCGAGTGACACTGCACTAGGGTCTGTGAATTCTCTTTCTACTTTCACCACGACAAAGAAAAGGTGTAGAGGTGGTATTCCAGTGAAGGAGAAAGGGGGAGTTGTAGAACTGTCTTGAGTCTTGGGTTGTTAAAGAGGTTTCCATGCCATCTTTTCTCCTCACATACTGTAGGGTTATAGCTGAAAGTTAGGAGGGTGGCTGAAGCGGATCTTCATGCTCCAGCATACTCCAGTTGATGGAACAGCTTTTGTAGGTGATAGACTTGCGAGTTTATGAAGGGAAGCAGCCTTGCAGCCAGATGGTACTGGGCATATGTGTTTATGAGAAAGTGGCTTTAAGTCACTTTACCTCCTTTGGAGCTGTGCTGAGTGCAGCTTAGATTCAGGCAGCTGTGTTTTCAGTGTCATCCTCCTTTTCTGTTCTGTGGCTTGCATCTCCCTCCTGTTTGCTTTGGTTCTTTTCTATTCAATGTAAAGGCGAAGGGGTGGCTAATACTCCTGCCCTGGAGAATTACGGTGAATGAGAACATGTCTTCTGCCCCTTTGCAAGCTACTTGAGACTTAGATATGGGTCCCCAGGAGGAAAAATGGATTCTATTCCTGCTTGTTCCATCCTTGGAACCAACAAGCAGGGTATGTATGGATCGTTGGCTCCTGTTTACATACTTCCGGGGATGTATTTGATGCTGATATGTATAAGCCTTTTCTCTTCCTCTTTGTGTGCCTGTCCATGAAAGGTACTTCAAGAGAGGCTGATAATTTGGTAATGAAAGTTCAGGCAGGGTCATGGCAACCCTAGCTAGCTTTGAAGTCAACAGCTTGGGTGGCAGTAACAAATTGTAACTGCAGCATAGCTGGCAGTGGTTGGGTCTGCTTGTGTTCTCTGTATAAAACCAAGCTCTGGTATGAGGACACATATGATACAGATACATAAAAGCATGAATAGCTTGGGGTGAGTGAAGTAGGGAACAGCAATGCACTGTGTCTTCTATTTCCAGAACTAGGGAGCGGCAGATGAAAGCAGCAGACAGGCAGATGTTTGAAACAGATCACTGAAGTGGGAAATGCTTTTTTATAAGGTGTTGCAAATGCTAAACATTTATATGGGTTCGGAAAGTGACTGGCTAAATTTACAGAAGATAACTTTTAAATACAAAGATACTAATCTGTTCAGGATTCCTTGTGCCACAAAGTGCTGGATGGTGGGAAAACATACTGGGGAAGTATCACTGTATGCTTGTCCTCTTTTACACCCTTTCTAGGTGTCTGCTGTGGGTTATTGTTGAAAACAGGATACTGATACATGAGGATGTTTGATGGGACATGGCTCAGTAGCCTTTTGCTCTTGTGCCTGTAAAAAGTGCACTCAGATTTTGGATTGCAATGTAGATTTACTATTGGAAGCATATTTTGATGCACACTGTCACTTAGGATTGCTTTTTGTGTAGCATGCATTCAGTAACACTCCTAGTTTGATGCTATGTATATGGTCTTAATGCAGCTTTCATGAAATAATGGAAGAATGGATGATCAAGTTGTATGGTAGCAGGACTGTGCTCATATGTTGTGTTTATCATTGTATTTTCTTATTTCATGGTAAATGTTAGGATTCCTTTTGTTTTCCTTTGGGTGAGAAACGTGTTAGATTGGAGGATAATAAATTTTCAACTGAGTGACGAGCCACATCTAAACCTCCCAGTCTGTGTATTGGGAGAAAAAAAAACAAAAAGAAAAGGGGAGAAGCATTTGATCTCTTTGCAGCCTTTCTGAACACAAAATGTAAAAGTCGAATTTGATGTCTAATGGTAGATTGATAAACAGGATTATTGCCCGGATGGAGTAAATCCTCAAGTGTTCCACACTTTTTTTTTATGCTATGTAACCATTCTGAAAGCAACTCTTAGAAGGACCAATACATGCAGCATTTTCTAGTAGTGCTTAGAATGCACATGTATATTTGTTGTTATTTATTTACCTCGTCCCACTTTTGTTTATTCCTATTTTAGCTTTTTAATTTGCAATTCAACTTCTTTAGCTTTGAAAAATATTGAATATTTCACTGTGCCTTAAAAGATTCTGTATTTTTAGACAAAATGGAAGCACAGTGTGCTATAGGTGCAGCCTATATAGTACTGTCTTTTTTCCAAGTTAGTCTCATGACATTGTTAAGATTCGGCGCTGCGTTCACAGAGTCAGTGTTCTCATTTAGCCTTCCTAGCCTGTGATTAAATGGGAGTGGCTGCTTCTTGTACTATGAGTTGGCTGACAAAAGCTAAATCTGTCACAGGTGGTACAATTTGTGTATCAGAAAATTTGCTTTCCAAATGCTAATTATTCCCGAAGTATCTTACTTTGCACAAAGCACAGATAACAGAGTCAGCAAATTTGTCCCAGTTTTATCATTGTGCTATGAATAGGGTTTGTCTCCTACCATTGTGTACAGCGAAGATGGTAGAAATTCAAAGGAAGGAGAACCCATTGATTTACAACCTCTGATGTGTTTTTTCACTTAATTCTTCCAATCAACATGCTTGAAATGTATGTTATTCAAATAATCATTGCTGAATTTCACTTCTGTAATTGAATGAGCTGTTGTCTAGGGACGTAGGATCATGGGAAATGAACAGCGTTGTCTCTTTAGATGTTGTTAAAAATTGGAAGCGTTTTGTGCCTGAAAGGCGCAAACCTAACCTGGTAGGTTTAATAAAAATACAATTTGTATTAATTTTGGAAGTTAATTTAATATGATGGTAGCTTATCAGGAATTATCTTTCCGGTTGCTATGGGAGAAGAATGGACTCTCGGTCATTGAAACTGTGGCTGGATAAGTGAAAGCATTCAGTTTATAACCTCCTTAGACTCTGACTCACATATGTTGTGAAAACACGCACGTAGGTACTTGTGCACAAGCCAGGAGTTGGGTACCCGTCACCCCTCTTCCATCGCTGCCTGTTGTGGAGCACCTTAGTGACAACCTGTTACAGCCTCAGTTGCCTGTGTGATGTATTTTGACATTGAAGCACCAGGATCTCCCTAGATAAGAGTTTGTAGTTCAGGTAGGCTATTGCTCAGTTAAATCTTTTGTAACAAATCTAGCTGTCATCCGAGTGAGCAAACTTTTGACACTAGACGCAGAACGACCTGCTAAAATAGCAACTGGAACTTATTTCAGCAGCTTGTCCTTTCATTTCTGAGAATTACCTAGGAAGTCCTTCTGAGATTAGACAAGTATTTTAAATGTATATTCAAAATATTTAGCTTATAGAGTGACTTACACAGAAAAGGAAGAGCATTGAATGCTGTAAATTAAATTTTTAGCAACAATTTTTGCATTGTAAACTAGCTTAAGAAACTGTTTATTTAGTCCCTTAGGATGAACATATTGTATATTTCTAGATTTTTGACAAATGCAAACATTTAACTGATTTAACTTCTAATAGCAGTGATTCACAGCTCTAGTTGTTTGGCTTGTGTATAGTGATATACTGATTTGTGTTTTTATTTTATTTCTTTAGGACTATTTAACCATTCACAAGTATGGCAATGCAGCCAGAAATGATCTCTGGAACACATTGTCAAAGGTAAAATGTTTTAATCTATTGCACTGAGGGAGAAGCAGGAATTTACTGTAGTATTTTCTTGGTGAGGTTAGGAGTGAATAGTGCATATTGAGATCTTCAGACCCCAGAGCAAATATAAAAATTGATGCAAAGAAATTCCATTTGAGTTAACCTAGTGGCAGCATTGAAATACGTTTTTTGCTGCATTTCTATTCTTTGTTATGTTAGAGTATATTTCCTTGCTTGTGCTATGTCACTGATAGGCAGCAAAAGATACTTAATGGAATCTGCTATCGTTGACTTCAGTGGCAGCGCACTGAGGCCCATAAGCTGGAAAGCACGTGAAAGTGCGGAGCTTTGACATTTACATGGTGTGTTTCTAATTTTGTATGGAGTTACGATTTGTGTGAAGGACAAAACTGTTAAAGCTTTAAAGTTTGGTGTAAACAGATAACTATTTACTGTAACATTTGGCATGCTGTAAAGACTTACAGTTGCTATGTCCATGCTCCCTTCAGTTGCTATGCCCAAGCTCGGCTTGAGTTTCTAGAGCCCAATGCAGGGATCTATAAGGGCAGAGTTTAATTTTTATAAAGTGAGCCAAGCATGCCTGAATTTCTCACCTACAGAGCTAGTTTGGGCATTCCAGAATAAAGACAGAGTGCAAGCCAATGTAGAGTGCAGTCAGGGAGTTTGGGCACAAGTACCAACTCAAGCCATGTGTGAACATGGTAATCTAGTTCTAACTATTGACACCAGAGCTGGGATTCAGCTGGAGGTCAAGACATCTGCATTTACCTAGACAAGCAGGTATGTACATGTAAGCTCCAGTTGTTGCCAGTGAGGGCTGGATTCAGTTGCCTATTCATAGACATCTAACAACATTTACCTTAATTTATCCTGCCTGGCTTCCAGCTGCCACATGAGGTAAGTGTGTCTGCTGTAGGTCCACCAGTTCTGCAAGGATGTGTTGAGTATTTTCATAGAATCATAGAATGTTTTGGGTTGGAAGGGACCCCTAGACCTCATCTAGTCCAACCCCACTGCAGTGAGAAGGGACACTGCTAACTAGATCAGGCTGCTCAGAGCCCCGTCCAACCTGGCCTTGAATGTTTCCAGGGATGGGGCCTCCACTACCTCTCTGGGCAACCCAATTTTAGGACATCTCATCCAATTTTAGGGCATCTCATTTGACGCTTGGTGAATAGGAACAACTGGAGCCCGAGAAATCTAGTCAATACAGTCAGCAGAGCACAGAGGGCAATTCAATTGACTAGTCACTGCACAATTATTTTTAAATGAGCCCAAACCACTGACTGTTGACTAGGGATAGTCGTTCAGATATAGGCAACTAGTGCCAGAGTAGGTGCAGTAGGGTGTTCAAGACATTCAGGTGGGTCTAATCGATTTCAGGCAAGATCTGTGGGGATATCTGTACCCTTCTGGAGTGGCAGGTCAAGGTCAAATGATGTTAGCCGCCTATGTGTGGGCAACTGAACTGAGCCCTACGTCTGTACTGACTGTTAATGAGAATTGAGACATGTAACATACAGTCAGGCTCTTAAATCTATGTCTTAATGTGAAGTTGAATGCCACTGCAAAAGTCTTGCTTCTCACCTGGTCTTCCTCTGTTAAAGCCTTTAGGACAGTTCTGGGCAATGGGAAGTCAGAGGGATGAATGTAACCTTGAAAGAACAGCAGAGCCCACAGCTAATAATAAAACAGAACAAAAATGAGACTGTATTCTGGTCCATAACCACTACAGCTATACTGTATGCTCAAATCTAATTCCATTTGCCTCGCCTGTAAGCACGTTTGTTGCCAGCCACTTTGTTCCTAATGCGCTGCAATTGCAGCTTCACTTCTGAAGACTTCTTGCTGGGTTCTGCTTGCATTCATCAGAGGTTGCTGAGTCTGTGATCTAGGACTGTTCGGCAACTAGGGACATTTCCGTGGCTGAAGAACAAATGATGCCTGTCATTCGCCTCATACCCAGTCTTATCTCCCATGATGCCGTAGTATCTCTTTTTGTTTCAGATGAAAATCCACTTGTAAAACAGCATTTTTATTGACATAAGGTATCAAATATGAACACATTAATCCTCCGGGTGTTATGACAGGTGCAGTTTATGAAGGATCTTTGTATACATGGCCTCACTTTGGACATGAGGAACAGTATTTTCAAATAACTAGTCATTTGATTTTCAGAACAGAGAAGCTCTGAACATTTAGAAATCAGGCCCTTTGAATATGCCTTACTGTAGGTACCCTAGATCAACTAACACTGAGTCTTTTTTAACCTTAGATGGTCAAAAATATCTTTTGGAGTCAGCCACCCAGTATTTCTGTGGCTCTTGTTAAAACCCTGTAAAGCAGGTTGTTTCTTCTATTACAGCAAAAGTGCAAGAATGATGTAGGAAGCATGACTTTCTGACTGTCACTCTCCTCTCTGGCAAGATTGCTCAATGTTTATTTTTAAGATATATAGAGACTGTTGGTTAAACTATGTAGTGTGTGTGTACTGGGTGTAAATGTTTATGTGTGCATGCGTGATGGTTATTTAAACCTCTAAAACTCATTATGGTTTCTGGGACAAAAAAAAAAGTTTTTTATGTTGGATGATGGTGTTGCTTCAACATATTGAAACTTTTCTTTTTTCTTGAAGGCTTTAAAAAGAGTTGGAAAGTCTGTAAATATCCAAGAAGTAATGGATCAGTGGACACTACAGATGGGTTATCCTGTTATCACTATCTTGGGCAATGAAACTACAGACAATGTCATAGTGATCTCCCAAGCGCGTTTTGTTTATGATATTGATGCTAAACCCAAGGATCCTGCCCTTGGAGACAACAGGTACTTACATTTCTCAATATCTTTCAAGAGGCTGTAGTTAAGTAAGTGCTTGATGTGTGTATTTTAATGAAGATGGCTCTTTAGAAATCTCTGAGCTTTGCTTGGTATCAACAGCGTGTGTTGTCCCTTCCATTTGAACTGCAGTAACGACAAGGCTAGTTAAAAGACTTGAAAAAAATCATTAGAGTAATAGAACAACAAGTTAAAACTTTTAATGTGCCCATTTGCATCCTGACAGGTCTCTCTGTGACTACGTCTTATGTCACACATCTGTTTCCTTTTCTTTGATTTTGTCACACTCCATGAAGTAATTTGGAATGCGTTTGGAAGGTCTGATACTTCTTTTTAAGTAATTTTTTAGAGTGGACCTCTCCATGTTCACACGTAAAGTAGGCAGATGTAACCGTGTATCGGGTATATACCTCACTTGACTTGGGAAGCAGTCAAGAACTGAACTGGACCTCTCAATGAGGCAGGGGGTTCCAGCTGTTCCAATTTTGAAGCCATCTGAACTGGTCCTACGGGGACTGTTACACTGGCTGAAATCAGCAGGTGCAGATGCATCTCTGCCCCTACCCTTTTTCCACGTACTTTTCCTTCCTGCTCCCAGCTGACTCCACACACTTCCTTCATCCCAGAGACAAGCTGACATTCCTGGCTGATGCTGGGGAATCCTCATCTTATCATTTAAAGCAGTTTTGGCATCATATTGTAAGGCCAAGAATATTGAGCTGATGCTAGATAATTACAATTTAGCCTTAGAAGCTTCTGTGTTCGTGCTCAGTGGGAAAGAGGGCATGCTCTCCACCTTGAGTACTCTGTGCTTGTCCAGTAGATTTAAATCATTAAAAGGTAAAATTTAATACCAAACTTTGCTTGACATGTCTGGAGCTTATGGAATATTCCTGTTGAGGAAGGCCTAAAAATATAGTTACTTTTATTGGGAAGTGTTTAGAAGTTCACTATCCTTTTTTAGGACATGAATATTATGGATGTCAAACATGACACAATGTAAATTCTTGTTTTTCTGGCTATATTGGAACAATTTAGCAGGGTATTAAGCATCTGTTTAAGTTCTGGGCTAAAATTAGTTCCTTTGTAAAAAAGAGATAAAACCAAGTGAATGTGGACTGTTGGAAGCGTGCATGATTCACAGTTCAGTGTAGTGTGAGAGTGATTCTCCCTTATTCACTTGAAAATTTCTTTTGTGCAAGTGTATATACACGTAATGTAATGTGAGTGGATTTTACTACTCAGAAAAACAGAGATTATTAGTTTTTTGATTGATTAAAACAGAGATGTTAAGCCTTTTAATTTTTGCAGACACCTTCTTAAATAGATTTACTAGGTATCCAGTATTGATTGTAATAACTGCTACTGTAATTCATGAGTAAAGACAACAGGGTGCGTAAATGTTTTGTAAGGTGGAATATCAAGGGTGAGAATAAGACATAGTTTTATTTTCATGTGACACTAATTCAGAATTCAAACTGTATCTTCAGATACACGGAAGGGTAGTGTTCTGCACCGACAGGGCAAGTGACACTGAATTTCTTGGGAGATTTTTGTCTACGTATTTTATCACATAATTTCTAAACATGGGAAGTAAGGTTTAGTGCTATAGACAGCACCAAAAAAGAACCAGCGTGGGCCCTGCCAGGAGCTTACTGTCCTAACAGGCAGTACAATACATTTTATATGTATGTCCTGTGGCAAGTCTCTTTCCCGTTCTTTCTCCCCTTTGGATTTGGTTTTCTCTGTGCTTCCATGTCCTTTTAACCACAAATGGGAAGGAAGCCCCTTGCCCAAGGAAGGCTTTACAGATGGGGTGTTTATTCCAGCCAGCTAGATGATGGAGCTAGTTTGCCACTTGCCAGTTAAAGTTATTTGAAAGTCACATTACATAGTTATAAGTACCAAAGGACAGGAAGCATATACATTTAGCAAAAGGTGAAACTTGCCTATGCCATTCACCTTTCAAAAATCATCCACCAATTTATATTAAAGTCCTGTGGCTTAGCTATAGATTAGTGCCTAGAGTGTTATAACAATGACCATGCAATTCACTGGTGCACTGCCCACAGACACGTGTGGCTTGGTATGCACAGTGGCTCTGTGTCATTAAATGTCCTTTCATACCATCAAATTAAGTAGAAAAACAAGATAGGCATACTGAAGATAAATGTACTCTTTCTGTCAGCAATGAGCTAGATCTTTTTCAAGGTTTTTTTGTGGTTTGTTTGGTTTTTTTCCATCGGAAAAGTCACTATTGCTTCAATTATTGTGAAAGCAATAGATAGGGAAAATCACATTAATGTGATCTCATTTGATAATTCACGATACATTACTCTCCCTTGGTTTTTAACACTGCGAGAGCTGAGTTTTGTGTGACGTGATATAAAGGGGACAGTTTTTTTACAAGTACGCAAAGGGGGTGATGACTGGAATGGAAACAGCACGCTGACGGACGTTCAGCACTACTGTGAAATGCAGTGGTCTGGCTGATTCTGCAGGTGGCTTTGGTGAGGCAGTCGGCAAGGGTTTACTGACGCTCAGCGGGGCCCTGTAGCAGAGGTAGATGTTGTGGGAGGCACAGAGGTGTGTATATATACATCTGTAATGTCAGCCTGCAGGCTTTGGGGTGTTACCTGTCAGCGGCCTAATTCACAGTCCGTGCTCATCTCCCCTGCGTGACCCATGAATTAGGTGTTGGACGCATGGCTCCCCGGGGAACCATAATAGGCATTGTAAATAACGGGGAGCAAATGGTATTTATGCCACATTTGAGGCCATGCTCTTGCCGGGCAGGCAACATTGGCTTTCCTTAGTGTAGTTTATCTATGGTTTAATCGTGATGATCATTTTAAACACCATAAAGAGTGGAGCTGCACAAAACACAGAAAAATGTACAGGTCCAGGCCTTTCCAGGAGTTTATCATCTAAACAGACAACACGATATGCACTGCAAGGCTCCGGGGAAGGCTCTTAAAGCATCCATCTGCCGTATAGTCTTTAGTTATCCAGAGGTGGGGCTGTAGTTCGGCGTGGCGCAGCAATAAACGTCAGTTCTACTGCCTTCAAAGTGATGAGGAGTTTAAACTTCTGGTTCAGACCCTCTCTAGGCAAATTTAACTTTGCCTTACTTTGGAAAGAGTCACTTCAGAGTAGGTCTTTCAGATGTATCTGCTGCATAAGGAATGTAAATAAAGAGGCAACTGAATATTTCAGAACCATTCTAGTTTTCTAAGATGTCTGTGCTTTTCTTTATGCTATGTATTTATGCAGCAATTAACGGTTAAAAATGAAATGTGAAGCAGCATATTTAATTTTTCTCTCTGAAATCATGTAGTGGAATATAGAAGCAACAAGCAGATTTTTCTAAGTGATAAACGGTAAAAGTGAAAATTGTTGATACCTTTGGCAGCAGTTTACTCCTAGTTCTGCCTAGTCCATTAGTGTAAATGTCTTTAATTCTACTGCAGAAGAGAATGATTACATATAGCTGATTTTCCCATCTCATGTACAGTTGGACTCCTTGTCTCTATAACTGCAGAAAAATGTTTTTCAAGGGCCATACGTAAATAAACTGTGATTTATTTGTGTGCATAGAGTTGACTGTATGGCATGCTGAGCTCTAACATTTGGCCTGATATTATAGAAGGTATACAATTTCACTTCTTTGCAAACTGAACATAGATTTTACTTGACACTTATGCTTTCACATGACCCATAGTTCTCACTTTATGAGAGAATAAAACTAACAGTGACAAACACTGTTTCTAGGAATGCCATTCCTCAGAAGGACCA